CAAAGATTTAAGATTGTTTTTAGCTTCTTTATTCTGACAAAATATCCAAGATCCAAAACATCCTCTAGTGTCATGAAAGAGCCTGCCCCAATCAGAGATCCAGCATTTTAAAAAATTAAATTTATTTTTTAAATGATACATAAAAACAAAGTTTATATAATTATCGGATAATATATGATATTTTGATATATATGTATACATTGCATGATATTTAAATCAGGTTGAATATATCTTGTTTCTTTCTTTTTTTTGTTCGTACTGGGAATCAAACTCAGGACCTTGCATTTGACAGGCAGGCACTTGTGCTGCTGAGCTACATCCCGGGCAGATTGAATTCATCTGTCTCCACAAACATTTATCATTTTCTCATAATTAATGCATTCGAATACTTTCTTTTATTTACTTTTCTTTCTTTCTTCTTATTTATTTTTTGGTTTTTTGAGATAGGATCTTGCTATGTAGCTCAGGCTGGCCTTGAGCTCCCCATGCAGCCCAGGCTGGCCTTGAACCTGTGATGATCCTCCTGCCTCAGCCTCCCAAGTGCTGGGCCCACAGGTGTGTACCACCACGCCCAGCTCCTCTTCTAGCTTATTCAAATATATAGTATGTTACCGTTTTCTGCATTTACCCTCCGGTTTCGCTGCGCACTAGAACTTCTTACTCCTAACTGCAACTCAGCACCACTGACCAAGCTCTCTCTCTGCGTCCCCAGCCTGTGTGAGCAACATCCCACTCTCCCAACAGTTTCCATGCCACACAGGAGAGACTGTGCGATACTTGTCTCTCTGTGCTCGGGTTATTGCATTTAACACGATGATGTTGTCATGCCACTCATGTTGTCGCCAATAGCAAGATCCCCTTCTTTCATGGCTGAATAATATTTTGTTCTGTCTGTGTGTCACATTTTCTTTATTTGCCAGTGAATAAGCACCTAGACTGGGGGCTGGGGATTTAGCTCAGCGGCACAGCGCCTGTCTGGCAAGCGCAACGTCGTGAGTTCGATTCCCGGTACCAGAAAAAAACCAAAAAAAACCCACCTAGACTGTTTCTATTTCTTGGCTACTGTGAGTAGGGTGACAGTGCAATCTCTTTATTTATGGCTTCATGAATTTAATCAAAATTTAAAAACTGTTAGAAAAGAAAACATTTGGTGACAGTTCTTCATCTGAGTGTCTTTTAACCATCTGTATCACGGTTTGCGGCACAGGGAGGCACCGGAGACGGAGCCCGCCACCTTAGATAATGGCTGTTCAGAATAACTCACAGGGAGGTGTACACTGGTTCCAGTACTTATGAGCGGTGTAACCTTGAGCAGATCATTTACCTTCCCTCACATTATATAGGGTTTTTACGTTCATTGTCCATTTTTAGACATTTAAAATTTTTTGTATTGTTTACAGAGGAATTTTAAGTTCACTGCAAACCTGCAAGAAAGTGCAGAGTCCTAAATATCCTCCTTCCTCTGCCCTAACCTCCCTGACTGCACCCGACGTCAGTATTGTGCATCTTTTCAATCTGTGCAGCTGCACTGACACACCTGGGTTTTTTTGTTTGTTTGTTTGTTTTTGTTTTGTCTTTTAGAGACAGAGTCAATCTATGCAGTCCATGCTGGCCTTGAGCTCAGTTTGTAGCCTAGGCTGGCCTTGAACTCGCAATGATCCTCCTGCTTCAGCCTCCCGAGTGCTGGGATTACAAGAGTGCGCCTCCTCTCACGGCTGACACACTTATATTAACTGGAGGCAGGAGGAGTTTACATCAGAGGTCACTCCTTGGGTTGCACATTCTGAGTGTGACAAATGTGTGATGTCATGTAGCATTGGTGCAGCATCGCAAAGGATAACTTCACTGCCCTAAAACTTTCCAGTGTTTCACTTATTTTCCCCTCTCCTCCAACACATGGCAATGTTTGATCTTTTTACTGGCTGCATGGCTGCATTTTTGGGAAGATTATTTAGTCAAAACAATATAGTAACTAGCCTTTTCAGATTACTTTCTTTCAAGAAGACGAGAGCTGCTCATCTCATGGTCATCTGGAAGCAGAGAGACCTAGTGTTTGTTTCTGCCTGAGGAAAAACTTTTGATGAGGTGGATTTCGTTTATGAGGCTGCACACATTTTGCTGTGTTTCTTTTGGGTGTGTTTGTTTGTTTGAGACAGGGTCTCACTGTGTAGTTCAGGCTGGCTTTGAACTCACTATGTAGCCCAGGTTGGCCTTGAACTCAGGTGATCCTCCTGCCTCAGCCTCCCGAATGCTGGGATTACAGGTGTGTACTGCACTACCATACCTGGCTTGCTGTGTTTCTTTTTTTCTTTCCATTTTTTTTTTTTTTTTGAGACAGGGTCTCACTATGCAGTTCAGGCTACACTTGACCTTACTGTGGTAGCCCAGGCTAGGCTCGAACTTGTAACACTCCACCTGCCTCAGCCTCCCGAGTATTGGGCTTACAGACATGCACCCGGCTTGTGTTTCTTTTTAAAAGTATGACATTGGCAAGAGATAAAAGGCAATAATCTGTCAACTGGGACACATTATTCCTTATATATTTTTTTTTTTTTTGGTTTTTCTCCGGTACTGGGAACCGAACTCACGACCTTGCGCTTGCCAGGCAGGCGCTTTGCCGCTGAGCTAAATCCCCAGCCCTATTCCTTATATTTTTAATAAATGAGTATTTACCTATCCAGAGTCATAGGATTATAAAGCCAGGGCCGCCTAAGTGACCACTTCTGACCTATTAATTCCACGTTGGTGGTGTTTTGAGAAACATACCATGCCTAGGCCTGACTCCAGACCAGCTTAATCAGAATCTTAAGGGATGCAAACAAAAGGCATCTCTATTTTTGAAGCTCTACAAGTCCAGTGGGGGATGAGAAAGGCAGCTGTAGTCCCACAGTTTCACTTTACAGAGAAGGACACAGAAGGTCAAAGGGGTGAAGCGAGTTCCCTGAAGCCGCACTGCCGGGAAGGAACCCCCACGCCCAGTTCCTCTGACCGCCAACCCAGTGTTCTTCCCGCTGTTCTCTCTCTTCTCCTGGAACTTAGGGTTTTGCTGAACATTAACGTTGTACAACTTCCAGTGGTGGGAGACGGGCTCAAACCCATTGGCAAGGATCGGTGGGCAATTTTTCTTTCTTTCTTTCTTTCTTTCTTTCTTTCTTTCTTTCTTTCTTTCTTTCTTTCTTTCTTTTCTTTCTTTCTTTTTTTTGTTTTTGAGACAAGGTCTCACTATGCACTTCAGGCTGTCTGTGAGCTCACTTTGTAGCCCAGGCTGGTCTCAAACTCACAGTGATTCTCCTGCCTCAGCCTCCCGAGTGCCGGGATTACAGGCGTGCACCACCACACCTGGCTCGGTGGGGCATTTTCTGAGGACTCAACTCAGTCGTGTGTTCTCTGAAGATGGCTCTACTCAGGATGCAGCTCTGGCCAAGGGCTATTAATGGTGGGGCAGGCAACGACTAATAAATACCACAGTGCATGTCAGTCCTGTGTTGGACAAGTCACTTGCTCATGGTTTATTCTCACCCGTGAAGGACAACATTTATTGATAAGTATCCTCAGTTTCAGGAGATAGTCATATTAGAGCAAAGAGTAGATTGGGATGAGGGCTAGGGTGGGGAGTTACAGGTCCCATTTGAGAAATGGTTAAATTTATAAAGTTCCCCAGCAAAATAGACAAGCATAAATGTTTCATGTAGCTAGGTGTTGTGGTGCAAGCCTGTAATCCCGGCACTTGGGAGGCTGAGGCAGGAGGATTCCCTTGAGTTCGAGTCTAGCCTGAACTAGTGAGACTCTGTGGCAAAAACAAAGCAAAACAAAATAAAAAATGTTGCATGTAATTTCTGAGGATTCACTGAACCTCTCCACCCTCCAAACTCCTGCCCTAGCTAATTTTTAGACTCCAGATTAAGATCTCCTGGACTGGATGATTTTGAAGCTCTATTTTAGTGTTTCTTACAATGTGGTCCATAGACCAAAGCTTCTGACTCATTTGAAGTGTTTGTTTTAAGAAAATATCAAGGAGAACATTGCCATGCACAGCTGTAATTCCAGCCACTGTGGGAGGCTAAGGCAGGAAGACTGCAAGTTTGAGTGTGGCCTGGGCAACTGAGTGAAGCTCTGTTTTGAAATTCAAACAAACAAGCAAACAAGACCAGATTTGTAGGATTGCCACAGACTTTGTATTTCCAAATTTTCAGGGGAATTAGGATCAGGAATCTGCAAACAAACAAACAAATCCTGAAATGATTCTTTTGGAAACTAACATTTGAGAATCAATATTTTATTCCAACTGAGATTTATATGGCTTTTGAATGCTTTTGTCTGTTGACTTAGCTTTTGTGTGTTCACTTGACAAGTATACCAAATACTATGTTTAGTACAAACTCATTACAGAGTATTTGTGTGTATACAGTAAGAAAAATATCTGGATGTGTGTGTGTGTGTGTGTGTGTGTGTGTGTGTATGTGTAATGTTAACAGTGTTCCTCTCTTTTTTTGAGACAGGGTCTCACTATGCAGTTCAGGCTGGCCTTGAACTCATTTATGTAGCCCGGACTGGCCTCAGCCTCCTGAATGCTGGGATTATAGCCCCACCCCCGTGCCCAGCCAACAGTGTCTTTCTTTGAGTGGATGATCTTTATTTTTTCACTTTATCCTTCTATTTTATTTCTCCCATTTTTTTCTTCCTGTATTTAAAAAGACACTTCCTCTTTCTGAGTTCAATTTCCCCATCTGAGAAACAGGGCGTTGCAACTCCTTGAACTAGGGTGGTCAGGGACTCCATAGGCCCCGGACCGTGTAAACCCGAACTGCATACGTAACAGCGACGTTTGGAGAATAATCATGTATTATTTTGTATATATTCCGTTGTGACGTCTAACCGTTTTTACGTCACGAAAATTATTCTCTTGTTCCTTAAGAAGCCAGGACAGAAATAATGGATCTACAGCCTTCAAAAGTTCACCTTCTGTCCTCAGCCTTAGAAAATGCCTTCCGAGCGTACCTCTTAGGAGCTTAATAATGGTTGTGAACCAAAAAGCCAGGGCGTGGTCGCCCCGCCCCCCCGCCGTCCGATTCGCAGATTGGCCGGAGGCGAGGACGAGCCCCGCCCCTGGTCTTATGACTCGGGCCGGAGCGGCGCGTCCTGGCTCTTGCTGCGCCCTGGTCGGTGGTCGCAGAGTTCCCGCCTCAGCCCCGCGAGCGTCGTCGCTGGTGTCGCCGCTCTTGCCGCCGCCGCCGCCGCCCCTGCCCCTCGGGATCATGGTGTGCTTCCGCCTCGCCCCTGTTCCGGGCTTGGAGCTCGCCCTGCTCTGCCTCGTCCTGGGTGAGTGGCCGGGCCCCGGGGGCAGCCGCAGCCGGCCCGCGCTGGTGCAAAGGCCACGCAGCCGGGAGGACGGTCTGGCCCGGGCGAGGGGCTCGGCGGCTGGCTCCGGGCGGCGGCGCTGCCCCGGGGAGGGAGCGGCGACCTGGAGAAGGCCTCAGCGAGGGGTGGCGGGGAGGAAGGGCCCGCGGGAGTTCCCGGGGCGGTCGGGTGGACGCGGGAGGGGGCCGGGCGGCGGCCGAGGCCGGGCGGGGCAGGAGTTACTCGGGCCGCGCCAGGGAGCGAGTGCCGGGGCGGCTCGTGCAGACTCGGGGCTGCGGGACCGTTCGGGCAGTCTGGTTTTCCTGGGATCGGGGAAGACTTGTGAAGGTGGTGGGGAAACTACAGCATGAGCAAGAGATCGGGAGAGGAGACCGCCTGCGTGAAATCGCTGGACGGAAGAGTGGTGGTGGGGGCGGCCTGGATCCCAGAGCCCGAGGCGCCGCGACAGCGATGCCTTTTTTTTTTTTAAAGACAGGGTTTGACCGTGTAGTTCAGGCTGGTCTGAACTCACTGTGTAGTTCACGCTGCCCTCGAACTCACGGTGATCTTCCTGCCTCAGCCTCCCCAGTGCTGGGGTTGTAGGCATGTGCCACCACACTCCAGTCGCTACGGGGGTTTGTGGGAAACAGTTTGAGGCCGTGTGATTAAAGAGATGAGGAATGATGCTGGATTTGAGTTTGCTGCTCAAGAGTTTTGAGGGTGAAGGGACCTAGGTTGGCCGGGGCAGTTTTCAGGACGGAAACTTGATCTCAACCTCTGCAGACTAGAAGGATGAGGGAGAACTTCGGTGGGGAGTGAATATCTGACTTGGAAGTATCAGTTTTGCTACTTCAGCCAGACACTTGAGAAAAAAAAAAAAGCCCCAGCTGCTTCCGTTGAGAGTTTTCCAGACGGGAGGTTTTGGTGGCTGTGCATCGGAGTTTTGTGTGGCACCTCCTTGCCTTCATAGTTAAGTCTCTTGCCTTCCTCTCTCCATCGTACACTCGGCTGTGGCCTGGTGGTTTTGGAGGGAGCTCCTCACTTCTGAAGGACTCGGTTGCTGCTCAGGCAGAGGAATGGCTGGCTGGATGTCTGCCGCGCTCTGCCCGTAGACAGTGGTCGGCACCAGCTTTAATGTCTAAAGGTGAACTTTGACCAGAATGTCTCCCTGACCTGATTCATCCTGTACTTATTACCCGCCGGCTCTTGCTGTTTGTGACTTAACAAGAGCGCAGAAGGAACAGATCTAGGTGGGACTAGGGAGGAAATAGACATATTAGAGGGACTGAGAAGGCAACGGGAGGTAAATATTTTATACTTCACGTTTTAGGAGAATATAGTCAACACCCTGGTGCACCCTGCTTCGCAACCGGGGGATATTTGGGAATATCTGAAGACATTTTTGGTTGTTAAGACACGGCGGAGGGGACCCTTTCGGCATCTGCTACATAGAGGCCAGTGAGACTGCCCAACTTCCTCCAAGCACGGGACAGCCCCTCTTAACAAAGATGAGACTCTTCAAAACATCAGTTGTGTCAGCCTGAGACAGCCTCAGAGCCGTAGTGTTGAAGGGGGTCTCGATTATATCCAGTCCCCTAATTCTTTAGGACCTTCTCTGGAGACCTGTGAGGTCAGAACTTTCCAGAACAGTCCCGAGAACATACTGATTTATCCTTTGCACTCTTACCCTTTTGCCAGCATACAGTGGAGTTTTCCAGAAGCCACATAATGTGTGATGATGTCACCACCCTGATGCCTCTGGTGCTCTTGTGTTGTCTTCACATCTCCATTTGCATTTGGAATGCAGTAACTACCCATAGACGTAATGCACACGAGCTAACTCTCTTCCAGGTCCTCCACAGAGAGGAGAAGCAAAGGGTCCTGAGCGGAAGACGTGGGCACGCCCTTGCTGTAGTCCAGCTGGCCGTGTGGGGCAGGAAAGTCGTCCGCAGGCAGGAAAGTCGTCCGAAATGGGGCCACGAGGCTCTGCCCGAACGCGCTGGTTGTACTGTGAAGCTCTGAGTGAGGGCCGGCCGGCCCTGAGAGAGGCTTGTTTACAATGGAAAGTACCTTATCTGGGACCAGAACACATCTGAGCCAGGCATCTGCTAACCAGTTGTTCTCTGACAGTTGAATCTGTACACAGACATAGCACTGTTCTTGTTTAGAGAAAGGGGGGAAAATAACAGTCGTCCTACTTATTTGCTTTCATGCCATTACTTTTTTTTGTTTTTTGATGAAAGCTTGTTTTGTTGTTGTTTCGTTTTTTACAAAAGCAGTGCATGCTTACTGCAGAAAATAAATAGCCCAAAAGAAGCACATAATAGAGCCCGTCAGCTCATCTGCTAGCTTGCCATTTATTGATCAGGACTAACTAGATTCCTCCTCTTGGAAGATTTCCAAGATTGATTCCAAGTTCAGGACAGGATTTGGAGAAGTAAAAGTTAATAATGTTGCTAGATCCAGTTTTTTTATTTATTTTATTTTATTTTATTTTTTGGTTTTTCATTTTGGTTTTTCTCCGGTACCGGGAACCGAACTCACGACCTTGTGCTTGCCAGGCAGGCGCTTTTGCCGCTGAGCTAAATCCCCAGCCCCTAGATCCAGTTTTTAAGAGATTCCCAGATGCAAAGAAAACTACCATTTTATGCAGCTATTTTTTTTTTTTTTCAGACAGCTCTTTTGGTTCAGTGTGGAGCCCAAAGGGCTCCCGTGTACCTTTTTCCTCCTAAAAATTTAGCAGGACTTTAGTTTTTTGGTGGGCTTTGCATGTTACTTTTCAATTGAAAACTCAACGATGCTTGTCAGGTAACTGCTGTGTACTTGGTACTATGCCTGGGTCCTGCGAAAGGAACTGGTAAAGGAGCTTTTATCCTGAGTTTACAGTCGCATTAGCATAAGTGAACTGGTTGTGCAAGTTTCACTTGGAGACTCCGCTTTGTAATTTTATTACTGTGTTCCAGCTCCACCAGTAGCCTTTTCAAAATACGTGTTTCATGGTGGGGGATGTAGTTCAGTGGAGTACTTAGCTGGCATGCATGAGGCCCTAGGTTTGAGCCCTAGCACCTTAGGAAAAATGTAGCTGCTGTAGGGTTAAGTATAGAAAAGAATTCTTAAGGGCTGGGGATATAGCTCAGCAGTGCAGTGCCTGCCTGGGAAGCACTAGGTCCTGAGTTCGATTCCCGGTATCCAGAAAAAGAAAAGAAAATAATTCTTAGTGCCCATGTATTGGTCTTTTTCACAGAAAAGAGACTTTTGTTTGAAAAAAGACTTTTGTTTGAATGAATTATAACCAACCAGGACATTCTAGAAAAAAAGCTATATAATTTAGAGGCATTATAAAAAGAGCAGTGGATGAAAGCCCTTTCCTAGCATCATTGTTTAATTAATACTTCCTTTGTGACATAGATGTCAGAATTTTGTGGTTATTGGTTGCTATAACTAGCTTGACTTCTGTTTTTGTTGAATGAGATAATTTTTAAAGTATTTTTAAGTATTAAGGCTCTTCTGTGTGAGAAGAATCTCCTATAGATATCCTTGGTATGCTTGGTGTGGTGGCACACACCTGTAAAATCCCAGCACACTTGGGAGGCTGAGGCAAGAAGATCACCTCAGATTCAAGACGAAACTGAACTACATAGTGAGACCCTGCCACAAAAAAAAAAAAAAATACATCCTTCACGTATACTTCACTGGTGGGAGTCCCTCCTTCCCCCAAATGTTATTGAATGTGTATTGTGTCCCAGCCAGTATACTCGATGAAAGGGACAGACCATGGACAAGACGGATGAGGTTCTGCTTTCATGGAACTTACTTTATTTGAGGGGTGAGTGTTGAGACAGGGTCCCATTATGTAGTTCAGGCTGATCTTGAATTTACCATGTAGCCCAGGTTGGCCTTGAACTCAAACTACCTCAGCCTAAATTCTAGGTTTACAGTCGTGCAGCAACACACCAAGCCGTAGGGACTTAAGTTTTAATGACAAGAGATAGCCCAACAAGTAAATAATAGAATTTCAGATAGTGACGGACACTGTGAAGAAATCAGGGCCAGGATATAGCTCAGCCTTGGCGGCACAGTGCCTGCCTGGCAAGCACAAGGTCCTGAGTTTGATTACGAGTACCAAAAAAAACAGGTGACAAGGAAGGAGAATGAGCAGCTGAGAGGGGTGGCTGACGGGTGATGGGATGAGCTGTCTTAATATTATGGGTCAGAGGGCCTTCTGTTGTCTAGTGACATTTGGGCATAGACCCGGCTGTTGGAAGGAGGGTGATCATGTGACCGTTTGGGGGAACCAAGAATAAATCTTGTCTTTCCCAATCTCTTAGGTTATTACCTCAGCCTGTTTTCTGTTCCTTTTTTCTCCTGGCCCCTGTTAAGTCCCCTTTATGGTATTAGTCTCGGAGAGCAGATTACATCCTATTTCCATGGCCTGGCTAGCACCGGGGCCTGGTACGTGATTGACACTGAGTAGAACTAGGTCGAGGGTCTTCATTGGTGGGCACTGGGGATATGATGGGGAGCTAGACCAACTTGGTCTCCTTTCTCCTCTGTGAACCTTACTTAAGTGATGTTTGTTTTATAAGGTCTTCTGTACTTTCGGATTGAGAACTTCAATTGCCACGACCAAGTGTAGATCTACAAGATCAGTGAGAAAAGTGCAGGTGATTACAGACCGAATTACTGAAGTATGATGTCCTTTTTTTCCATCAGGTTTTATTGGTACATTTTAGATATACATAATGATCACAGTCATCGTAGAGAAGTTGTACCTGTGCATGGTATAACTTGATTCTTGTTTTTCCCACTCCCCTCCCCTCCCTCCTACCGCTCCTCCCTCCCCATTTACAAGAGCTTTGTTTCCATTCTTCCTGTATAATCTGAAGTCATGATGGGAGTGTCTTCCCTGTGCCCCTGCAGATATGCCCCACAGGTTACTATGAAGAACTAGGGAGTCCTGGGTGAGGAGAGTTAGGTTTACA